AGTATTCAAAGTCATGAAAAGCAAGGACCAAGATTAATTAGATTACTAATTAATCTAATTAGTAATTAGATTAATCCTAATCCCCAGTCTGGGCTCAGCTCTTGCCCCATTTTTAGTCACTTCTCCTGCTATCCACAGCAAATTGCATCCTTCTGGTGATGATTCCTGGGTGGATTGGCTTGTGTACATTCTAGGACTGCATAGGCCCTTCCAGTGGAGTCTCCTGTGAGACTGGCAGATAATTTTCCAGTAATCCTCTCTGCCCCAACTGCTCACCTCTGCCCCTCCTACTAGTTTGGATGAATGTTTCTTCTTTAACTCCTTGGTTGTTGGCCTTCCATACAGTTCAGTTTTATGGCAGTCCAAGATTACTCTATCCAGTAAAGCTATTATCTAGAATGGAAGGGCAAATAAAGTGCTTCCCAGATAAGGTAAAGCTAAAGGAGTTCATCATCACCAAGCCCTTATTATATGAAATGTTAAAGGGACCTGTCTAAGAAAAAGATCAAAAACTATAAATAGTAAAACAGAGGGGAGTGGGAGGGGAAAGAAAATGGGGGAAAAAATACAGAGAATAAGCAGCATAAATACTTGGTACAAAATAGACAGAGGGAGGTTAAGAATAGTATAGGAAATGGAGAAGCCAAAGTACTTATATGTACAACCCATGGACATGAACTAAGAGGGGGGTTGTTGGGGGGTGGTGTGGTGTAGGGTAGAGGGGAATAAAGGGGAGGAAAAATAATGGGACAACTGTAATAGCATAATCAATAAAATATATATACTTTAAAAAGATAAGGAGAAAAATCTTAAAAGCAGTAAGAGGAAAGAAGTTACCTACAAAAGAGTTCCCATAAGACTATCAGCTGATTTCTCACAAGAAACCTGACAGGCTAGAAGGGACTGGCAAGAAGTATTCAAAGTCATGAAAGGCAAGGACCTACATCCAAGATTACTCTATCCAGCGAAGCTGTCATTTAGAATGGAAGGGCAGATAAAGTGCTTCCCAGATAAGGTAACGTTAAAGGCGTTCATCATCACTAAGTCCTTATTATATGAAACATTAAAGGGACTTATCTAAGAAAAAGAAGATAATAAAAAACTATAAAGGGTAAAATGACAATAAACTCAAAACTATCAACAACTGAACCTAAAAAAAAAACAACCAAGAACACAAACAAACTAAGCAAACGACTAGGACAGGAACAGAATCACAGAAATGGAGATCACAAGGAGAGTATCAGTGGGGAGGGGAAGGGGGAGAATGGGGGAGAAGGTACAGAGATTAAGAAGTATAATTGATAGGCACAAAATAGACGGGGAGGTTAAGAATAGTATAGGAAATGGAGAAGCCAAAGAATTTATATGTATGAGCCATGGACATGAACTAAGGGTGGGTGCTGCTGGAGGGAAGGGATGTACAGGGCAGAGGGGGAGAAAGGGGAGAAAAAAATGGGACAACTGTAATAGCATAATCAATAAAATATACTTAAAAATCACTACAAAAATAAGTAGTTCCTGTAAGAACTGGAGAAGGACCTTGCAAGTAAGATTCTTCACTATGTAGGTTTTGGGTACAATTTTTTTTCTTAATCAGAAGAAACGATTCCTTTTCACCTGTATCCACAACACTTTACATCTAACAGCCACCCTACAAATTTGCAGCTACTTCACTTTATACATATTTAACTTGCTCCCTGGGGCAGTCTGTGAGCAATCTGATGTTGCAGATAGATGTGCAGAAACTGCTCTCCAGGTAGGGCAAGTAACCTACATGCTCCTCTGGGTGGTGCACCAGCTCTCCCAGGTATGGGAGCATTATCATCTATCATTTCTCGACCCTATGGAAATTGTCTCTAAGGAACTACCACTGCAACTGCAATAAAGTTGAAAACAAGCTTTCAGAAGTCCACTAGTTGGTTTGGTTTCAAGAGTATTTTTTCATTATCACTCCTGGTTTTATTGGAACCCAAGAGTTCTTTCTTTAGAAACAAACAAACAAAAAATCCAGATAGAGCTCTATAGCCCTCTTTCTATTTCAGAAATACAAAAATACCTGCCACTTACAAATTCTAGGAATATTAGTAGCACTTGGCTGAAGAAACTGTGACTTTCTGGACAAGAATCCCAAAATGATTTTCCACAGGAGGCAGTGGTGGGGGTGTGTGAAAGGAACACAATTTTGAGTCTGCTAGGCCACTGGGCAAGGCATTCAACATCCTGTGATGAGAATAGGGGTTGTCAAAGACCAAGCTGCCATGTGTTCTGGATGCTGGTATAAGAGGCAGTGGAGAGTTTCAGTGTCAACAAAAGAAAGAATTTGAAATACATCCAACTTCCTCATCCTTTCCCCTCCCCTCAAGCACTATGCAAAAATGTTTAGCAGTTATATCGATATTTTCAGAGGATTAAGGGCCACTGACTTCTCTAGCGATCTTTTTGGCTTTGTGAATGGAGGCTATGCAAATGTGAGCAGTGGATGGCGGGCCAGAGCCCAGGGTGAGCAGCAGTGTGACCCTAAGGGAAGAAGGGTTCCCCCAGAATGCCCTCGTTGAAGCAGACAATAGAGGCGAGGGTTCTGCAGGCAGTAGGCATAAAAACCACCTGAATAGCACCTGGGTTGTTGCAACAGAATTGGGCTGGATGAGGAAAGCAGAGAGGCAGAACTTACGCCACCTAGAAGGATGTGGCTGTCGACCACCAAAAGAAGAGAGTAAGAACTCCTGATGGTGCGTGGAACCACTCAGTAGGGAATCTCAGTAACCAAGGAAAGATGGCAACAAATTTAAGAGGGTGCATTCGTTTCTAATGTAGGAATTATGATAGTTTCCGGATTTGCACATCCACAGTTCCGTGAAGCTTCTCCAGAAGCTTTTAGACCTAAGAGGCAGGCACCATCATGGCAAAACTGTGCTTAAGTGTCTGGACTTCAGATATTGTTGATATTTTGGTCTAAGAAGCTACCATCTGAGATGGGTCAAAACATCCTCCTACTTAGCTGATCCCTCCTGAGGCGGCCAGCCCTGCACCAGTGACTTTACTCCAGAAATTAGATGTTGGATGTTGGCCAGGGTTTTTAGAGGCCACAAACCCTTTAGCTAGAGCTCCCATTGATTTGACTGCATTCATTCAGAATTCAGTGGCCTCGAATAACTCCAGAGGTGAGCAGTCCTCTATTCCATTAGGTGCCCTTCTGACACCCTAGGCTTTCCATGCTGTAGGGCTCAGAAAGACCATCCTTAAACCCTAGTTTCACACACAGCTTCCCTGATTTTCCCTTGAGTTTTCCATCTTAGGGTATTTTGTAGAGTTTTGTTACCTACTTATTTGGCACAATTTTATTCTACATTAATGAAAGACCAATCAAGGTCAAGTATGTAGAATATATATAGTGCAATATTCATTCATTAATTCATTCATTTAGTCTTCATTCCATGAACATCTCTCTATAGGATGCCTGTTGCAGGCAAATGCTGAGCTAGACAGCCATGGAGCAATTACACAACAGACCTGACTATACCCCTGCCTCTAGGAGCATCCTTCCTGCTCATCACCTTCCTGAGCTTATCTCCTACCACTCCCCCTTTGTTTATATCCACCTCACCTCCCTAAGTGGTCTGGATATATCCTTGCACCCGCTGTTCCTTCTCTGCAGAAGCCTCTTATCCCAATATCCACCTGGTTCACTCTCCCTTCCCTCAGGAATTTACTCACTAAGCCCTGTCTTAGGTGACTTAGCCTTTCTTTGGCCTCCTCCTGCCCTTTCCTGATTTATGTGTTCTCCTAATCAGTTCTATTCTCTAACATTCTATATATTTACCTATTTGTTGCTTAACTATAAGGGATGTTTGTCTGTTTTGGTCCCTGCTGTTTCTATAGGACCCAGAACAGTGTTGAGCACATAATGGGGATGGAGTAAATATTAGTAGAATTAATAGTTGGATGAATATATGACCTGAACAACAAAGTAGATAGTTAAACATGAAAGTGGGTCATATTCTGGTCAAGTGAATTGATGATAGGCAATAATTGATATAGTTAAATCCATGCTGATCATAGCACAGACTCTTGACATTAGATTTGTCTTTTAATGCCTCAGTAGTCCCTGAGACTCATTAGCTCCTTCCCCAAGAATTAACTTTAAGCCTCAGAAAACAGAAGGTGCCCATCTGCATGGGTGCCAGCTTTTTCTTCTCCAGTGCACACACATAACATCCATTAACAGTAATAGAAATGACAGACTCACATACAGCAAGAGTGGAACCCATGTAATCAGTGTGTCTCCAACCCTGAAGAAGCAAAGTGTCCTATTCCAAGACACTAGCATTAAAATAAAGTACAAGTTTAATAAATGTTATTGGTTATTAAAAAAATGCATTCAATCTTCAGCAATCATCTGTAAATAAGGATGGCCATATTGTTCTCCATGAAAGAAAGCATTTATTCAAACAGTTTTCAGTGAAAAGTTAGTAAATATAAACACTAAAAGAGCTGCTCTCCTAAAAGAGATTAAATTAAGCATCAGTACAATTGTATGAAGAACATGTTGCAACATGGAGGTGGCCTGTTCTTCTGGTCATTATTAATCCAGAAACCTTAATTATAAACAACATTTGTGTTATTGTCTACCCAAATTTAATTTGTTTATGCAGCAGTTCAGTTAATCCTGCAATCTGTTTTTCTCAAACGAGAGCAGATAATGGAGACACCGTTCTTTACAAGTCTTCAGGCTTTTAAATGCTGATAAAATCAGGATTCTTCACTGGGTCTTGCCCCAGCTCTGAATTAAACCACTTTGAATGTAATTATGGAACCTGGCCTTACATCAGGAACATCCATTTAAAAAATTGATTGGTCAGGCTATTCCACGAAGCATTTTATGAGCAAACGATTGCAGTGGGGCCAGGACTGTAATTTATAAAGGCAAAAAAGCAGGTAAATACCTTATTAGTGGTAATGAGAGGGTTTCCAGCTAACTGAATCTTTTCTTTTCTCTCTAGCTTCTTCACGGAACCCTGGTGTATAGCCCTCTTTCACGATCGTTTTATTGATCTCAGGAAAGAGTTACGCCAAATCTTAACCTCTAAGGAGGTAAGAGTGATTAATGGATATGTGGGTTGTTCCTTGCAAATTATAAACAGTTTATAGTTGTTGATCATTTAGACTTTTCCCTACATTCCCACTTTATGGTTTTATTTTAAAACTAACTGTACTTCATATAAACAAACTACAGAGTGTGTAAACATGAATGTGATATTCAGGGAGAGTGGATTATTTAAATCTTTTTATGAGGGGCAAATATCTTTTTCTCTTTTCACAAATAATCGTATTTTCAATATCACCTAACAGTGTTGATGGAAGTTGGTCATGAGTTATATCTGCTTGTCCTCAAGAATGAAGACTGCATTCCTTTAGTTTCCAACAAGCTATTCACTAAACATTTGTGTGCATGTGTTGTTTGAACATGTAAAGAGAAGTCATCAGATGTCCAAACACACTTCTTTTATAACCGAAACTTCTTTCCCAGAGCAGTACAGAATTAATGGGAAGTTAAGCTACACATCCCAAAGTCTCACTGTTCAGCAAGAAATTTGACTCTGCAATGTAAATAGTAAAATATTTGTGAAACTTTGAATTATTTCTTTCAACACTAGAGTACTTACTGGAGTTGGGTAAAGTTAACATCTGTGCTCAAAAAGTGGTCAAATATCCGTCATAGGCTATCCCTTGCTTCACTCAGACACCAGCTGAAGCACAACTAAGCTTCCACCTTGTTTTCTGCCTAAATGAGCAAGTCCTGCATCTCTGTTGTCATCCTAACAAGAACCTTCTCAGGTGGTTGGAGGGACTGTTATCATCTGCACTTTACCAATGAGAAAGGTGAAGCTGAAAGATTCTAAGTGACCTGTCATCAGTTACACAACTAGTCAGTAGCCAGCAGGCTTCAAACTCAAAGATCTCTTACTCCAAAGTCAGGAACACAGGCACTGGCCCATACGGGGCCCAACTATGTGTCTTCATATTTTCTCTTCAATGCCCATTCCACCCAACCCATCCCTTTCAGTTTTATTCCTGAGATCCAAGCTAGAAAACTGACATTCTTTTACCAATCTGAAGCAGATTCAGGTCGAGAAAAATGGGTTTAAAATTTAAATCAAACTCAGTTGCCTTTAGGATCCATATAGGTAGGAAGCTGGCAGGTAAATGTACATGAGAGAAGTAGAGGGGACTGTGACTACAGGTGAAGCAGTTCCCTGTACTTCATCCTGAGGCTCTAAGGAAGTCAGGTCCAATTGAAATAAGAGTCTCAGTTGAGAACACCAAAACGCCAATACAAAAGAACCTATGCACCCCAATGTTCATAGCAGCACAATTTACAATAGCCAAGTGTTGGAAGCAACCTAAATGCCCATCAGTAGATGACTGGATCAAAAAATTATGGTACATATACACAATGGAATACTACGCAGCAGAAAGAAAAAAGAAGTACTAAACTTTGCGACAGCATGGATGGAACTGGAGAGCATCATGCTAAGCGAAATAAGCCAGGGGGCGAAAGACAAATACCATATGATCTCACCTATAAGCGGAACCTAACCAACAATGCAAAGAAGCAAGGAAAATATGACCAGCAGCACTGAAAGGAAAAGAAATCAACAGAGACAAGAGGGAAGGGGGGGGGGGCAGGGAAAGGGAAAGGAAGGGGAAAGTCAAGGAACATATAGCAAGGACTCATGGACAAAACCAAAGGGGAAGAGCTAAGGGAGGGAAGGTGGGAGGGGGCAAGGGAAAGAGGTGGGGGGAAGGCAGAGACAAATGTATTTAAAAAGTAAATAAATTAATTTAAAAAAAAAAAAAAAAAAAGAGTCTCAGTTGAAAGCCTGATGTTTCCTGAACTCCGTTTAATGACTCGGATACCCTCCTGCCTCTCAGAATGTAATCTACAGCTCACTTCTGCCTCATAATAATTCATTAGTTTTCTAGTTACTCCATCAAAACTCTGTGCCCATATTCTCTAAAGCCCAGATATGAGCTTCTCTGTTAACATTTTGCACAAGGCCAAGGGGTTAGGTGTCAAGCTTAAAAAGGGAAGCTTTGCCTTTACTTTTCCAAGTAAACTGTCAAACCCAGTAATTTACTTTTCATGGCACTCACTGAGAACTGTCAACCTTTACCAGTGAACAGACATCTGTTGTGGGTCAGTTCCCCATAAATGAACAGTGTGGACAGCAGTGGCCATGGCATTTGTGGAAGAGACAGTAAGGGCTCCCCAACCATTCCTGTGGGTTTTTTAGATTTCCAGAAAGTAAAGCTTCTGGAAGAAAAGCCTCCACTGCGGATTGTTATGTTTTCCACATTTGCTTTTGTCAGGTAGGAAAGGCCACAGGAATAGGTAGTACATGCAGTGGTGTCTGCCTCTAGCTCAGATTCCCATGGAGCAGGGACTAGCTGTTCCCACCTCAGAGAGCTGTGGAAGGGGTAAAGGAAGGGATGTGTGCAAGTACATGGCACAGAAGAATGGCTCTTATTAAATGCCGGCCACCACAAATAATAGTGGTGGTGACAGTTATGATAGAGACAGGCTGACAGTGGTAATGGCAGTCATATAAACACATGCAGGAATTTCATATCAAGAGTCTAGTATTAGGAAAATAGAGAGTGTAGCCTTCACTTAAGAATAATAGTAATACCTTTTCTCTAATACTGAGTTGATGGAACCCATTTCATCTCAGTTTCTATCTTGTTTTCAGGGAAATTCAGAAATTCAAATCCATTAACTATGATATCCTAGAGCTTAGCAGAGCAATTTTCCTCTTTTTCCACATGTGGAAAAAGGAATAAAAAACTATTATTTATGACTGTTATAACTTTCCTCAAATCTATATGTCATTTATTTTAAAAAGGAACTCATTATATAACACATCTCAAATCTGTGTGTGGATGTTAAGGAAGGAAATCCATTGACACTGCAGTTAGCTGTGATTGAAGCCAAAGAGTTATTCACCAAAGTGAAATGTTGTGGAGTGAAAATTGCTCTTCAAAATCCTTTAAGAAGTATATAACAATTATAAACTTATTGTATCTAACAACAGAACCCCAAGACATATGAACCAAAAGTTGATAGACTTGAAGGAAGGAATTGTTCAGAAATGATAGCTGGAAACTTCAATATCTCATTTTTTAAAAAGATTTTATTTATTTTTAGAGACAGAGGAAGGGAAGGAGAAAGAGAGGGAAACATTAATGTGTGGTTGCCTCTCTCACACCCCCTACCGAGGATCTGTCCTGTAACCAAGGCCTGTGCCCTGAATGGGAATCAAACTGGAGACTCTTTGGTTCCCAGGCCAGCACTCAGTCCACTGAGCCATACCAGTGAGGGCCAATATCTCACTTTTAATAATGCATAGAATAATCAGAATATAAATAAGGAAATAAAAGACTCAAACAGCACTGCAAATGAACTAGACTTAACACATATATACAGAACACTCTACCCAACAATAATAGCAAGATGCACTTTCTTCTCAAGTGCACATAGATCATTCTCTAGGATAGGCCATATGTTAGGCCACAACATAATTGTGAGTAAATTTTAAATATTTAAATCATGCAAAGTATATTATCTAACCACAATTAAGTAAAACTAGGAAATAAAAACAGAAAGAAAAAAATTCACAAATTTGTGGAAATTAAACAACAGGTTTTTTATTTCAAGGAAGTACTCTAATGGGATATTAAAACAGAAACAAATGAAAATTAAAACACAGCATGCCAAAATTTATGGGAAAGCAGCAAAATCAGCTTTCAGAGGAAAATTCATAGCTGTAAATGCCTACATTTTAAAAAAGGAAAGATCTCAAATCAATAACCTAATTTTATATTTTAAGGAACTAGAAAGAAGTCAAAGAAAACCCAATGCTAACAAAGGAAAGGAATAATAAAAATTTTAATGATGATAAGGGAAATAGGAAATAGAAAAATGACAGAGAAAAACTGATAAAAACTGAGGTTGGTTCTTTGAAAAGATCAACAAAATTGGCAAACCTTGAACCGGACTAACTAAGAAAAAAGATAAAGTACTAAAATCAGAAATAAAAATGGGGACATTACTACTAACCTTACAGAAGTAAAAAAGGATTATGAGAGAATACTATGAACACCTGTGTGCCAAACAATTAGATAACCAAGATGAAATGGACAATTTTCCTAAAAACATACAACTATAAAAACTGAGTCGAGAAGAAATAGAAAATCTCAACAAACCTATAACAAGTGAAGGTATTGAATCAATAATCAAAAACTTCTTAGTAAAGAAAAGCTGAAGACCAGATGGCTTCGCTGGTGAATTCTACCAAATATTTAAAGAATTAACACCAATCCTCCTCAAACTCCTCCTAAAGAAATATAGAGGAGAAAGGAGCATTTCCTAGCTCATTCTGCAATATCAGCATTACCCTGATACCAAAGACAGACAAAGATATCAAAAGAAAAGAAAACTTCAGAACAATATCCCCTATGTATTTAGATGCAAAAATCATCAAATGAATACTAGGAAACTAAACGAGCAGCATATTAAAAGGTCATATGACCAAGTGAGATTTACTCCAAGAATGTAAGAGTGGTTCAACATATGAAAATTAGTCATTAATGGAATAAAGGGGGTTACTGCTACCATCTCAACTGATGAGAAAAAGCATTTGACTAAATCAAATATGCTTTCATGGTAAAAACACTAGGAAGTGTAACAATAGAAGGGAACTGCCCCATCCTAATAAAGCGTATATGTGAAAACCCCACAGCTAACATCACAGTTACCAATGAAAGGGTGAAAGCTTCACGTCTGTGATCTGGAACAAAACATGGATGCCTGCTTTCACCACATTTGACATTGTCCTAGAAGTTCTAGCCAGAGCAATTAGGCAGGAAAAAGAAAAAAAGAGCTCCACATTGGAAAGGAACGTATTTCTTTCCTATATTCTCCAATGACATAATCTTACATACAGAAAATCCTACAGAATGCACAAAATAACATTAGAGCTAATAAATTAAGTCCACAAAATTCTGGGATAGAAGATCACACAATAATCATTTATCTACATTAGCAATGAATAATCCAAAAATGAAATGAAAAAGAATTCCATTTATAATAGCATCAAGAATAATAAAATATGTGGGCATAAATTTCACCATAGAGATGCAAGATTTGCACACTGAAAACTATAAAACATTTCTGAAAGAAACTAAAGAAGACTTAAATAAATGGAAAGACATTTGTGTTCATGGATTTTAAGATTTAATTTGTTAAGATAACAATACTACCCAAAAACAATCTATAGAGTCAATGCAAGCTTATCAAAATCCCAATGGTAATTTTTTGTAGAAGGAAAACCTAATCTTACAGTTCATGTGGAAATGCAAGGGACTCCAAGTAGCCACAACAATTTTGGATATTAAAAAAAAAAAGTCAAAGGACATACTCTGTAAAATTTCAAAACATCACAAAACAACCATAACCAAGACAGTATGGTAATTATATAAAGGTAGAGAGATCAATTTAATAAAGTTGAGAGTCCAGAGGTAAGCTCATTTACATGAAAAGATGTTAACATCATTAATCATTAGGAAAATGCAAAGCAGAACCACAATGAAATACCACGTCACACACTAGGCTGGCTCTAGTTAAAAATAGTAATAATAGCAAGTATTAGCAAGAATGAAGAAAAATTAGAACCCTCACACATTGCTGGGAATGTAAAATTGTACAGCTGCTGTGGAAAATGGGTTGATGATTCCTCAGAAACGTGTATGTGAAATTACTATATGACATAGTTATTGCACTCCTACGTATATATATCCAAAGAACTGAAAAATAAGTATCTAAATGAATACTAGTACATGAATGTTCATAGCAGCACTATTCATAATAAACAGCCCAAATGTCCATCAATAGATAAATAATACAGTCTATCCATACAATGTAATATTATTCTGCAATAAAAAGAAATGAAATACTGATACATTCTACAAAATGGATGAACATCTAAACATTATGTTAAATGAAAGACTCAGATACAAAGAATCGTGTATTTTTATGTGGCATTGTAAAGAAGGTTGGTCATAGATGAGCACTTTGAGAGGGGAGATGGTCACCCTGAGAGAGGTCACACTGTAAGATGCAAATGCACAAAAAGTTGTTTACAGTCTAGAGAAATGTTTGTCTTAAGAAAATTTAAAAGTTCTATTTTGTGACTTTACACTATTTACCCCAATGTCAAAGCAGCATTGTGTAACATGAGCCCCAAATCTTTAATAATTATTGTGGGAAAAAAATCATTGTACATTTATTGCTTTTGTTTGATACAATTCTCCTCAGAAATTAAGGAAGAAGAAAAACTCATATACATTGCAGAATATATCCTTGGGGACATGCTGGTGGCAATAAAATTATTAAGCACCTATGATATTTAGTTCTGGGCATCAGTTGCCTTTTTCTCTTTCACCATCTTTTTTGGGCTGATTAGAAGTCCTGGACCTCTATGACTGTCCTTCTGATTGATGTGTACATAATCTCTGACACTGAGTAGTGTCTCACTTAAATAGCCAGGTAATAATTTCCCTATGCCTCTATATAGTTTGAACATTATTTTTCTATCTATAAGTTCTTACTATTAATAAATTAATGATCCAGTAAAACTGTGCAAGTTACCACTTTTCTCTGTTCAAAATAAAAAGAATTATTGGCAGTTCAAATAAATATAACTAGAAGTCCATGTGGCTCTTCCTTTTGGGTAATTTTCAATTATGCTAAAACTTTGGTGTTCACAAACCATAAAGCCAAAACCTTGGTGAGCTGCTTTTTATAACAATCATATAGATAGATACCTGGGCAGGTGAAGCAAATATGGTGCAATGTTAGCCATAGAATCTAGATGTGTGCGCAAGTACCAGCTGTACCATTCTGTCAACTTGCTCTAGGTTTGAATGTTTTTAGAATAAATGTTGGCGAAATCCCTACTTTACTAGGGAGTTGCACAGCATGATTCTCAACCTCATGTAACTTTATTCTGCCTGAGCCCTATCTTTAGAGATATCAATGAAATTTGACTTCACTAAGAATGTATGTTAAGGTTTTAAAATCCTATTTCTTAGGGATTCTAACCAAGTAAAGTAAACCATCTAAAAATTTTCATGTAAAAATACTTAATCACTTCTTATTTTTAAAACAAGCACGGTTACAGGTAATTTTTATCTCAAAATTAAGAGCTTAAAGTCACAATGCTTGGTGAACATTGAAGATGTAATGATAAGTGAAGTAAACTAATCACAAAAAGACAAATACTATATGATTCCACTTGTATGAGATACCTAGAGTAGTCAAATTCATAGAGATAGAAAGTAGAATGGTGGTTGCCAGGAACTGGGAGGAAGGGGAATGGGGAGTTGGTGTTTAATGGGGGCAGAATTTCAGTTCGAGAGGATAAAAATGTTCTGGAGATGGATGTTGGTGATGGTTGCACAAAACTGTAAATGTTCTTACTGTCACTGAAATGTACACTTAAAAATGAATAAAGTGGTAGATTTTGTCATGTATATTTTGTTGCAATTGAAAATGCTAGAAACTAGGAAGGCCTGGCTGGTGTGGCTCAGTGGATTGAGCAGCAGCCTGAGAACCAAATGTCACAGGTTTGATTCTCAGTCAGGGCACATGCCTGGGTTGCTGACCAGGTCCCCAGTAGGGGGCACTCGAGAGGCATCCACATATTGATGCTTCTCTCCCTCTCTTTCTCTGCCCCCTCAAAATAAATAAATAGACTCGTTAAAAATAAAAACTAGAATAAAAATAACCATCCTTGAGGAACTGTGCACTATATTTTTCATTTTAGTGAAACTTCCCTCTTATTGTGGGGCTAAATGCAAGTAATTTCTGTATCTGGCCTCTTGCTGTGTTTTCCAGGAGGAAAATCTCCCTTCCATAGAACAGTTATCCCGTCAGATAGAAGATGAGGAAATTAACCTGAACGAGAAGCCCAGGAAATACCTCAAAAGAGTTTTCCAAGAAACCATATACAAGACGCTGGTGGAGAAGAGCATCCTTGACTACCTGCAATACAATCACTACCACCTGCCCATGTACGCGTGGCAAGGCATCATTTAGTTGTGGCCACAATCTTCACTTTATTAGTTTCCTACACATGTAGTCTCTAGAAGCTCTCTGCTTAAGTAGGATACCTCTCTGAAGCCTGGCTTAACAGCCAAGCACCACTGTCTCCTGGTTTTGTCTTTTCTTTTCCGCATTTTCTCCTGTCGTTTTCTCTTGTCCCAGTAGGTGGCGCACGGCCGTGCATCTCTATTCTGGGTCAGGGACAGGCTTTACTAATGCCAGACATGTTCCAGGGCAGAATAATTTATTTTAGCAATAAAATAAGATCAGACTGTGTAAAACTTGCTTGTTTTGTTTTTTTTTTACTTTGGGTGTGACTGTTTCATTTCCTCATTTCCTGAAATGTTGTGCCGCCAATTTGATTAGTTATTCACATGATTACCCAATAATAATCCTGGGTGATAAAAAAGAAAATTGTGTGCCCACATGGAATATTAGTAAAATTGATGATGAGAAATTAACTCAGTAATGCAACATCAGAGGGACTGACTGTGTAGGAAAGTTTAAGTCAACTTTTGTGTGAAAAAGCTGCAATCACAATCCCCGCATTTCTAGTTCATATTGCAAGTCATGACAAATGCAGTGAAAAACTAGAATATAACACATGGGCTCATGCAGGGTTGTTTTTTTTCATTTTTTTCAATTTCATGTGCGGGTTTTAGACTAGAGAACAGTGGTGGAAAATTAATCTAATTGATTTCCTTTGACCCTTAGCCCTGTGGCTTTGCATGGGGGGTGGAGGAGGGCTTGTACATGTCACTAGTAATATGGGTCAGAGACCCTCTTTCTTATAAATAAAGCAAATTAAGTGCCTACTAGAAAAATAAAGCAAATTAAGTGCCTGCTAGAAAACATCTGGATCTGGATATGGATCCAGAAAAAACACCTAAGATTCTTTTCGTTTATTTGGATCTTTTTAAATTGATAGTGTGACACTATTTGTGATTGAATTTTGACCAGCAGTGCTTAAAATTGGCTTTCATAGACACAATTCCAGTTCTTGTCCTTTTTTTTTTACATTCATGTTAATGGTTAGCAAAAGTTGGCACAATTACAAGGATAACACAGTTATTAGGAGGAAAAGTCATAGTTGACATTACAGAATTCTACATCCATTATCATCAAACTGATACTTTTCAAAAATAAAATTGTTCTAGCACACTGGACACTGATTGTTTTAATGCAGGGAAAAGTAAGCAATAAACCCCACTAATTCCTTTACACACATTTTACACAAATACATGGGTCATTTAGGGTGAGGGTCCAGCTTTGGCCATATGGTACAAACTGTAACTTGAATGGAGAACAATCGTTACTGGTTTACTCCTCAAACTGCAAACCCAGCACCCACAGAACCATATTTCAGGGCCCTGCAAGTGAGTCAGCTCAAGAAACTATTCTCCTCCCACTCCCTTCCCCTGAGAGGCCCTAGGGTCAAATTCATCAGCAAATGGAGTGACTGTCTGTGACAGGCCGAGGACCCTTAGGTGGAGATTAACAGAACCACCTCAGAGGATCAACAGTTACGATTTTTGTGACCAAGTATTACCATTAACAAGCTTCTAGTCACATTAAAGGGACACCCCAAGTGATAACGTAAATCTTAATATTGAATCATACATAAATTCAATGTTTGCTGCTTTTTAAAAATCAGTTCTGGACTTACATAAGTATCATGACATATTTGAAAATATCTAGATTATATTTTAGTCTGCAAAATGTATCAGATGAGGTTATTGCAACCATCATCTCATAGTCAGAGAGTAATTTCATGAATCTAAGCATGGATTAGCATTTATGTGAAGATGGAGATTCTGTCACTAAGGAACAACTTTTCTAAGAAGAGAAGTATCCAAGAGTGGTTGATCACAGGCCGAAATTGGCTGTTTTAAGGGCTTTGGGAGAATGAAGGTATTTTCTCCTTAATGATGATAAAGACCTGCAAAAGAAAGGGTTTCAAAGAGACCAATATTTGGGCTTTTCTCAGAGTGCACAGGTGTAGATCATGTGGAGACATTCTGCATGCATGAAGTCCCCATGTATTTCAGTATTTGCTGTTGAGCTGGGGACATCTTGGACTGTAAGCCTGATTTTTTGAATTCTATAGTTTTGAACAAAGAATACCGATGAAAAAATACCAAAGTTAATTTTCCCAAGTTTTCCCCAAATTGCATGCAACAAGCATGCCTCCCAGATGCCTCTAATGATCTCCTGGCATATGTCGGTTTGCAATAGAGTGTAGCCACCTCCTTTCCCAAAGTGGCTCCTGTTACTCCCACATATAACAGAAAAGCAAAGGAAAAATAAAAGATGAGAGAGGAAAGGGAACACTGCATAGAGAATAAAAATGCAAAACCAGCCAATCAATATTTACTCTTAGAAGGGGGAGAAGGGAGGGAAGGAGAGAGAAAGAACACACAGGCGCACAGGGTGAGTGAGAGGGGCTGAAGAGTCGCTGTGTGTGAGGAGCTGTTGATTGTTTTCTAGTTGAGAGAAGAGGTGATGATAAGGCTGGGATAAAGTGAGCCCAGGAACCGGGGCAGGAGCCAGCAGCTGTATGCTAATGCTTACAGAAACCAAGCCTCTTCTTCTCCCATTAAAGCAGGCGGCCAGGAGGCCGCACGTCACTGAACAAATAGGCTCCTCTAGACAAATAAAATAACACGTTGGCCTGAAGGGAGGAGGGAGAGTTGAGGGGTGGGGGAGTGAGAGAGGGGGAAGGAGAAGGGAAGAGTGGGATTGAGGAGAGGGGGACAGGGAGAGAGGTGTGGGTGAGAGAGGGGAGACGGATGGGGAGGGAGGGGAGGAGAGGAGAAGAGAAGACAGGAGGGATGGAGGAGACGGAAGAGACTGGGAGAATGAGGGAGAGGGACAGTCTGAGATGGAGAGAGTCAGAATGTGGGAAATACTGGGAAGGAGGAGAGAGACAAGAGGAGTGAAAGAGCTGGGAAGAGAGGAGTGGGTGATGGGGGTGGGAGGGGCAAGCAGTGAACAGGGGAAAGGGGAGAAAGAAAGGAAGAGAGACCAGGACCGAGGAAAGGAAAGACCGGGAGAGACAGAGGGGTGGAAAAGAAAAGGAGTGGGGAAAGGGGAGGGAAGGAAAGGAGAGCAGAGATGAGGGAAAAACAAGAGGAGGAGGAGGACTAGAGGAAACAAATAGGAAGCGGGGTAAGAACACATAAACCCCAAACCAAAAGCAGAAACAAGAAAAGGGAGACCCAGGCCAAGGCGAAAAGTTCACACTTCTGGTCACGAGGATGCTGGCTACCTCCGTGTCCACCCGCGGGAGGGAGAGGGGAGGGGAGGTCTGGAGTCGCAGTGGCCTTGCTGGTCAGTTTCTCATGGGTTTTGTCGGTGCCTTTTCTGAGACGGAGGCGCGCAAAAAATGGGGCAGTCACGGCACAGGTGGTAGCAGTCGCCCTTGTGCGGCCACGTTCCGCGTCATTTGAGCTGCTCAGTGCCACGGCAGCTCTTCCCGCCACGCTACTGGTTCTGACTTCCTCACATTTTCTAGCTTCGCCTTTGTCAGCTTTGCTGATACCACCCTTTCAGTCGTCCAGCCCGGGATCTTCCTGCCTCCTCCCCCTCCCTGGCCCGGACTGTCCTACCCGAGGCAAAAACAAACGGTCCTGAGGGCACTTCAAGGAGAGTTCTGTGGCACCGATGGCACACTGGGGAGGATAAAAGAGGCAGCAGCCACCCCTTTCGCCCCTCGAATAATGCGCGCGCAGCAGATTGAGGGGGGCGGGGGACACTTGACACTCGAGGGGAGGGACGTACTTGAGCGCCGCTGCTCCCGCGCCCGGCGGACAGCAAGGCCTCTCGGACTCTCCCTTGTTCGCTTTCTTTCATGCACTCTCCTTTTGTGTGGAATTATTTAAACGGGAGATCCGAGGCAGCTTTATGCTAATGTGCCGAACAAAGGCGACAGCCCGCGGGCGGAGGCGCTAAAGGTGCCCAGAAGCCCGAGTGGCCGTGCGGGGCGGCGGGAGGCGGGCGGCGGGCTGCGCGTGTCTCTCGCGTGCCCCCGGGACTGACAAAACAACTCCTCATTCCTGCAAATACAAAGCATCTCCCGGGCTCGGGTCGGCGCGCGGCGTCCTCCGGGGCTCGGGTCCCTCCGGGACTTGATGGCTTATAGTAAAGCAGTAACGCACGGTCCAGGCTAGGACATGGCTCATGCGCCAGGAGGGCCTGGGAAGGGGCTTCTGTAAATTCAGGAGAGCGGTCAGCCCCACAAGGAGGGTGCGTGGGGGTGGGAATCTGACTACTCCCTCTCGCTCCTTCCTGGCTTCTCCAAACGCGCTCTGTGCCGTGGGGGTGGAATTGTGGACACTCCTGTCCTCTCAGGGGCTCAGGGGCTGCTTGGACTCGTGGACACCTCAGGGGTCAATTCCTAGGCCGAAACCCCCAGCTTTAGCTCTCATTTCCATGCATCGAGCTTTCTAGAAACTCCGTGGAGCGAGGCTCTTGAGCTGGGAGGTCACAGTGAACTCAGATGCGCTCCCCGACGGCAGCCGGGGACACCAAAGCAGGAAAATATAGAGCTCCCGCGACCTCTTGCCCAGCAGCCGTCCAAGGATGAAGGCACAAGAGAGTCTGCAAGGACTTGAAGGGACAGAGGCCGCCGAATATTTCCAAAGCTCCGGCCACGACCCCACAGAAAAGGGAGGACTCGCCTGGGACCTGAGAAGGACACTTTGGAGACCCTTCCTAGGATCCTTACGCCTGTCGGCTTCCCCGAAGCTCCCTTGGAGGGGATGGGTTGGGTACAAATCAATGCTCTGAGTTTCCCCAGCTCAGCTCGTTTCGAAGGCTATTAGAAATGCAGTGCGCAAAGGCCCGCGCAGGGGCGCAGGGTGGTGGCACTTCGATCTAACTTGAGGCTGAAGACAAATATCTTCACTCCATGTCCGTATCTCCGCAGGCGCGCAGATTCTAAGAATGTCACGCAGAAAACAACGGAACCCACAACCAGGGGTACAAGAGTGCAAGTCCTCAGAGGCTGCTGGTGGGGTGTGCGCGCGCGCGCGCGCGCAGCACGATTCTTCCCTAGCTCTGGGTTATGAAATTAGTTTCTATTACTTGTACCTTTCAACTGACCGTTTATTTTGACAGTACCCGTCTGAGAGCAGATTTCATTTTCGCTGGCGAGACTAGAAACCACAAATAAAAAAAGAAACGGATCCACTGAATCTCAGTATCACAATAGTGTTTAAAAGATTCTCTTGGTTTAATTCAGAGTCCTATTTGAATTCGTTGCATTCAGGCAGGGGTTTTGTTTTGTTTTGCCTCCCGCCTCCGCCTTCTTTACAATTATGGATGTTGTTATTTTTAAAGGATTCGCAAGGTGACTAAGTTTCCCTGTTATCCGTTGAATAAAAGAAGTGTTACACATGCAAGACCAAATATCCCGCGGTCAGTTGGGGATCACCGATCGAGCCCCAGCCCTATTATTCCACAATCCAGATGGGATTCGAGATTAGAAAATAAAATTGGGCAAAACTGCCCCGGAATCCCTTTCCCACTTCTGTTCATCAGCAGAGTTAACCAGTGCTCAAAGAACAAGGAAATACAACATCACTTACTTTTAGATTGAAACAATTTATAAATTTTAGATAAACTCATTTTAGGACTTCTAACTTTTTTTTGCCGAATGAGCATTCATCTCACTTAGCATTTTAAAGTAAGGATGTGAGCTTTCAAAATATATCCCATTATATATATTCTTCTCTGTTCAGTCTGTGAGTTAAAAAAAATCATAAACAAAATCATCAGATATTTTTCCTTGATTAACTCTTACAACTTATTAACCCATTATAACTTACTACTCATGTGGACTCCTATTTTAAAATTCTGTTCAATTTCCATTCCAGGGTATTTTCAGAGGGAAAATCCGGAAATGATTAAGTACCTTTAGTGGAATTAAGCATAAGAAAAACTCAGCAAAATCTATCTGGGTGTACAGGGCTTTGCAGAAAAACGTCCGTTTCCTTCTCCTTCAATAAAGTGACATTTTCCTCACAACATATCACATTTTACTTATGTGGCTTTGCTACTCGTTCCCAAAGTGATGTGCGATCAGGGCCACTATACACTCTTGGGGTTCTGCCCCCGTCCCCAGAGATGCTGCCTTTTGTGCTTCCTCGGGGCTGGCCTGAGAAGAGAATGGAAGCAAAGGGCAGAGTCTGGGTCCCAACGATCCTCGCTGTTGTCTTTTCCTGGTGGCACGGGCCGAGGGGGCGGGGTGGGGGGGGGTGGGCTGCAGCCTGTCCTCTCCGAGGCAGCAGCCTGTCTTAGAGGACAGATTGCCCCCCCTACCCCCTCAGCCGACAGCACGCGTAGCTTTTGCATCCAGATTGGCCGCGACCCGCACTCAATAGCTGGAGGTTAATTTCCTTCACAAAGGTGAAGGGGGCACGGCTCCGGCGGGGGTGGGGGTGGGGGGTGCTGCGCCAAGACCCGCGGCCCTTTTATTCCTCAGAACTTTGATTGGAGCCCTTGATTTAGCATCTGATGTCAACCAGCAGACAAAATGCCCGCTCCGAATGAAAATGCATGAGGCCTCGCAAGGAGAGAAGAACCAACTCCACTGGGGCACAAGCGGCTGACCTCGGGTTTCGCGCTTTGGCCAGTTCCACCAAAATCAAGCCAGCCCTGGAACATGCGGAGGCTCCGAGAGGCCTGCACCCGGCTCCTCCAAGGATGCCAATCACCAAGCTTCCCGGAACTTAAAAAACAAAGTTCAGAAATTCAAGTTCCTTTTCGAACCCAGGCCAGTCCTCTCTCTCACCCCTTTAGCGCTGCGTCTGCTGGCAATTGAAGAAGTGCGGTGCCAACTGCTTCTCAAACTCGAGAGAAACCTTTCCAAGGCCCAGGGTCGCGCTCCCAGGTGGAGAAGACATCCCCCTCGGCTGCAGCCAGAAGGCTAGATCCTCCGCCTAAACTTGGAACCCTATTTTCGCTTGGATCCTGGGTCCCCCGGCCCACCTGTACGAGACGCGGGCTGGGACTCTCGGCAGCCCGGGCTTTGCAGCTATTTTCAATTCTTGATTATTTCCTAAACACCACGAGGAGTTCCTCCCCCGCTGCCTCCCCAGATCCCTGTCTCTCCTCAGGAGCCGCACTCAGATCTCTCCCGCTCCTGCTGCGGCCTACCACCGCCCCTACCCAATCCGCGTGCCTAACTTCCCCTCCGCTCAGGCTCGCGGATTGAACTCTCCTGACATATTTGGGACCATTCTTCTCCTTTGTTGCTATTTTGCTCGAGACCCGCGGGTAATCCCGGCGCGGGAGGGGGTGTGCATTGTCGCGCTGATAGACGGGCCCATTTGGCGACTCCGCGCCCCCCAGAGGAGAGACACAAAGCCCAGGCACGTGCACCTCCCCATAGAAAAGCAGCAGACCGTGAAGTGAGGCGGGGCCAGGCGTGTGCCTGGGCAGGGCGGGGTGGCGGGGCCGGGCGGGGCGGCGGCGGGGCGCGCGCGGGGGCCCAGCGCCCTCAGGTACATCTGCCGTACCTACCTCGGGCGACCCCCGAGTCCCGGCCCCCTTTTTGCCTCCCTGTCGTCCTCCCACCCTACCCGGGGGAGGAGCTGCGGGCGAGCTGATTGGCTACGGGGGAAGCGGGAGGCGAGAACAATGGCCCCCTCCCCCAGTTAAAAGGGAGCGGCTCCCAGGCCTGGGGACTGGGACGCGCGTGCAGAGCACAGAGCCGGGCGGAGCCGCCAAAGGCGCCACGCGAGTCCCGCAGCCGCCGCGCCCAGGCTATGGGCCGGGGGCACTGAGGCCGCCACGGCCGAGCGTAAAGGTGGGACCGAGACAGTGCCTTGCCCTCGCACTGCGCCAACATGCCCCGCGGCTTCCTGGTGAAGCGCAGCAAGAAGTCCACTCCCGTGTCCTACCGGGTCCGCGGCGGCGAGGACGGCGACCGCACGCTGCTGCTCTCGCCGGGATGCGGGGGCGCTCACTCCGAGCCCCCAGTGCCGAGCCCGGACCCGAGTCCGCTGCCGCAGCCCGCCGGGCGCGCCCATGCGGCGCTCGCCGCCGCGCTCTCTTGCGCGCCTGGCCCGCTGCCACCCCAGCCGGGCCCGCGGGCCGCGCACTTCGGCAACCCCGAGGCCGCGCACCCCGCGCCGCTCTACAGCCCCACGCGGCCAGTGAGCCGCGAGCACGAGAAGCACAAGTACTTCGAGCGCAGCTTCAACCTCGGCTCACCGGTCTCGGCCGAGTCCTTCCCTACGCCCGCTGCGCTGCTCGGAGGTGGCGGCGGTGGCGGGAACGGCGCAGGCGGCAGCGGCACCTGCAGCAGCGACCCGCTGTTCTTTGCGCCCGCTGAGCTCAAGATGGGCACGGCGTTCTCAGCGGGCACCGAGGCAGCCCGCGGCTCGGTGCCCGGCCCCCAGCTGTCCTCCGCTGCCTCCCTGCGGCCCCCGGGCAAGCGGCCCGCGCCCTCCGCCGCCCCCGAGCCTCCAGCCAAAGTGGCCAAGGCTCCCAGTGCCAAGAAGCCCAAAGCCATCCGCAAGCTGCACTTCGAGGACGAGGTTACCACATCGCCTGTGCTGGGGCTCAAGATCAAGGAGGGCCCGGTGGAGGCTCCGCGGGGCCGCGCTGGGGGTGCGGCGCGGCCGCTGGGTGAATTCATCTGCCAGCTCTGCAAGGAGGAGTACGCCGACCCGTTCGCGCTGGCGCAGCACAAGTGCTCGCGCATCGTGCGCGTGGAGTACCGCTGCCCCGAATGCGCCAAGGTCTTCAGCTGCCCAGCCAACCTAGCCTCCCACCGCCGCTGGCACAAACCGCGCCCTGCGCCCGCCGCTGCCCGTGCGTCGGAGTCCGAAACCACTTCCAGGGCTGAAGCGCGGGAGGCGACGGGCGGCGGCAGTGACCGCGACACGCCGAGCCCCGGTGGCGTGTCGGAGTCGGGCTCGGAGGACGGGCTCTACGAATGCCACCACTGCGCTAAGAAGTTCCGCCGCCAGGCCTATCTGCGCAAGCACCTGCTGGCGCACCACCAGTCGCTGCAGGCGAAGGGCCCGCCACCCGCGGCCCCGCCGGAGGACCTACTGGCCTTGTACCCGGGGCCCGAGGAGAAGGCACCGCAGGAGGCGACCGGAGACGGCGAGGCAGCCGGCGTGCTGGGCCTGAGTGCCTCCGCCGAGTGCCACCTGTGTCCTGTGTGCGGGGAGACGTTCCCCAGCAAGGGTGCCCAGGAGCGCCACCTGCGCCTGCTGCACTCCGCCCAGATGTTCCCCTGCAAGTACTGCCCGGCCACCTTCTACAGCTCGCCTGGCCTCACGCGGCACATCAACAAGTGCCACCCGTCGGAGAACAGACAAGTAATCCTCCTGCAGGTGCCTGTTCGTCCGGCCTGCTAGAGCGCGCCCTCCATCCCGGCCCTCCATCCTGGCCCTCCGAACTGTGCCTTTGCTTGGAGACCCACGAAGAGAGTGCGCACTGCGTGTCCCGAACCCGCGTCGCGCCGGGGGCTCTCACCCCGGGCTAAAGTGTTGTCTCCACTTCTCTTGGTGTGGCGTGACGGTAACCCCAATTCTCTCGTTGTGACTCCCTTTGGAGCTCCCCCTTTTGCGTCGTGTCCCTTTCCCCCTTGATGCAACAGGAGCCAGTCTCTTCTGTACAAGGGAGAAATGCTGTACTCGTTTGTCTCGTGGTTGGAAACCTCCCCTTGGAGGGGAGAGCTGTTTTTCTTAACTAGTATTCGCTGTGTTCATGATCTAGAAATGCAGTTTGCTCTCGCCTACCCAATCTTTGCTCTCTATATATGTAGCGTACGGGTTGTTTTGGGTGAATCTTGAGGAAGAAATGCCTTTATATTTCACAGGCTGTAAATTGAACTTCCCACATGATTAGCTTTATTATGGCTTGTGAACTGCTGGAGTCTGGCTTTACCTTTTTGTATGTGAACAAATCAAATTGCTTAAAAAAAGAGTTTTCTTTAGTATAGCCACAAATGCCTTGAACCGTTTGTTGTCTGTTTGGGATTGTTTTTGGGGGGAGGGAAGGGAATTTTCAGATGTTGTAGAAACTGCCTCAATATTTCACGTAAGACTTTTTGGTTTGATTGCCTTTGTTGAGTGAGGTAGGGCTATATGAGTTCGCTCTAAATGTATATGTTGATTTATGAGTAATTGTTATTTATTCTTTATTTATTTATATTAATTATGAAGATTAAGATATTATTTGATTGCAGATCTTTTTTTTCTTGGTGTGTGTTTCCCCCCTGCCAGTCTTGACATTTCACTGTGCATTTTACAAGAGAGCCTTTTTCTAAAGGGATCTGCTAAAAGTTTTAACTTTTATACCTATCTGAGCAAATTACAGACAACCTACCATTTTATTCTGCTTGGAGGGCCGCTGAGGTCCTTGAACAACCGACAGCTCTTACTTTTAAATGCAATCTCTTTTCTACATACATTATTTTCTTAATTGTTAGCTATTTATAGAAAGCTTCAATAGAACTGTTTCAACTGTATAACTATTTACTATTAAAATAAAATATTTTCAAAGTCAAAGTAGGGTGGACTTATTTCTGCATCATGTGGTTTCAACAAGGATTTAAAATGGAGTTTCAGACGATTTCTTAAAAATCTATTTTTTATTAAGGAGGAAAAAACCCACCACCATCATGAGGATCATGGATTTTTAGGGCCGAGTCTAAACTGCTGGATTCTGCCCTCTGGCAGTTCAAGGGTGCAATCCCAAACCCCTTAACTAGAGCTGAAAGCTTATTAGGGGTCTTTAAAAATGTACTGGAAGATGAAGTTAGGATGGAAGGTTTGAGAATCTTTTTCAGAGAAATTTAGGTTAAGTACCTGCAAGAATCTATCCTTTTAACCAAAGGGGATATAGGAATACCATGCTAATTTAGCAGATCCTCCATTTCCTGACAGCTTGGGGCTCAGTGTAACAGTAATTCTTCAAATAAATCAAATGGTTAAATTTTGACCCTTGAGTACTAACTAAAAGAAAGTAGAATGATTTTATAGCCAGATTTTGAAAGTAAGGGAAACAGACCAATTCACATTTGGATGCAGTGGAAGTTAGACAACTGGGTTTGGGGTAAGGACTAAGAAATGATTTTCCAGTCAGGTGAGTAATCCATTTTGGGGGGAAAAGTAGAGCACCATCTGTTTGGGATATTAAATTTAATAACAGGTCATTATAATGTTTTCCATTTTGTGTCACTCAGCAATCTGAAGAACAAGTCTGTCGCTCACCAGTTAACATTTTGAGTTGTTTACTTCTGTCTTTGAAATACTGATTAGCGAGCTGTGCTAAACATCACAATTGTGCTTTCCCCTTCCTTTGGTGGTATATCTTTGCTGCTTTTCCTGTGACCCACTAAATCTTCTACGGTTTGCAAAGAGATTTTAGAAATTTGCACAGGGGTTGCATTTCCGAAGGGTGTAGCTGGAATGATGGTGGAAAGGACAGCACATGAGAAACTTGGAAGGATGATATGACTGAAGATATTTTTTTTCAGATTGTGAACGTAAAGCTTTGTGTAAGAGAGGGTTTAGTAAAAGGCTCAGCTCTCAGGAATATTGAATATTCCACCTTTTGTGAGGAATAGATTTCAGAATAACAATGAAGGTTAAGTTGCCTCAGGAACAAACTACATGTTGTCCTTTTAATCGCTGATGACTACATGTTTTACCAGTTTGGAAAACATAGGAAGACAAAAGCTCAGTGCCCGCATGATATAAAAGCATGGGACAAATGGGGACAAAGAAGTATTTATGACATCTTGAAAACTTCAAAAGAAAGAAAAACTTCAATTTGTGGGTTGATGGATGCTCCCTGTGAGCAAGAATAACACTGAAGTTTTAAAAAATGTTCACTCTGAATTACATTATACATTAAAAGAGGTCTTTACTTCTTACCCTTACATTATACATTATACTAAGGGTTAGTGTCTGTTTTATGCCATTAAATTTTTTCCTTAAAAACCTGATGGTTGGTTACACACAATGAGTGGAGTCCTGTCTGCAGGTATTGCATCTTGTCATCTGTGTTCAGCTGACAGTTTTTCTTACCCATAATGGTAAATAAAGTTTGGTTCACAAATGTGCTCTTTCAAATTTATTTTGATTGACCAAATATATTTTTTCTAAAATAGAGACCAATATTTCATTTATGTGAGCTATTAAGTGAAATTGTATAGCAAATAGAATATACTGACATTTGCTAACCAGTGTAGAATAAATTGAAAAACTTGGTCAGTTATTTCAAAGTAATGCAATATGAATTAGCAGAATATTCCAGCAGAAGGAAATCAGTTTCATTCATATGCTCTCTCTTTTTCTCTTTCTCTCCCCCTTCTCTCTCTCTCTCTCATTGCTCCCTGGATAATAAAGTCACAAGGGTTCCTATCATAGACTGACCAAGTGGAAGTGCACTTACCTTATTTATAAATATGCAAAGGATGCTGAGGACATCCTGTGTGTCAGGTTGCTCCAAGCTTGGATGACCATCATTGGAAGCCAGCCAAGACTCCACACCCACCCATGGTGAGGGACTGGTGCTGGGAGGGGTGAAGTATCAGGAAAAGTAAGGAGATCAAGAAGAAGGAGCTAAAATAGAGAAAAAGGAAAGGAAAGGATTTTATTTTTGCCAGTGGTCTCTACACTTTCCTACTTCCGTACAAATGAGGTGGAATAAGTAAAAGGCTGTTCAGCACTCCCTATTTCTAAAGGAAGCCAGCAGCTGAAACAGCAACCAGACATGCCAGTTTGCCCTTTCTTCAAAATTGACTATGTCTTCTCGAGGCACATTTCCCTGGAGGCTTGGAGAAGTTGGGGATCCTATGGCTTTCACAGCAAGAACGTTATAACCCTGGTCAGCTTCTCACAGGGCTAGGCTGTGGAGGCAGCATTACTTCTGCAGCACCATCCACCTGGAGCTCCCGCCCTCAGATGATCACAGGGTCCATTGCTAGGGTCATACCCACATCTGCTCCAGTAGAACTTGTGATCACAAAACAAAGGTCAGAGGCTCAATGGCTGTCCATGAGGCTCCCATTGTAGAGCAGAGCAGAGTCCTGGAGGATGTTGAGTTCTTGCCACTGAGTGACACGTATGGATATGTTGGGGAGACCAGGTGCACAAGGTTGAGCTGGCCAATGCCAGTCACCAGGCGAATGTCACCCAAAGCGTCTGTGCCCAAATGCTGTGGCCAAGGGTGCTTCGTTTCTCATTTGCCTCCATTAGCTCTGCTGCAGGATCCCACAGAGCAGCCCTCACCTCTGCCAGATCCAGGTCCATCCCATGGACTCAATTCTACAGGCATCCACAAAGTCTTCAAACAAAACAAAGCAGAATGTGTCAACAATCCTAGAGAATAGATAACATCATATTTAACATCTTTACCCCCCTGATGTCTTGCAAAAGAGGAAGAGTCTAGCGGCTTGGGCAAGCCCTTGGTTCTGTTGAGTCCCTCAGTACCTACAGGCCAGTGTGTCCTCACCTGTCAACTGGAGAGAATGGGGTTCTGTGAGACACAGTGAGACATCTGGGGTTTCCAAAGACTGTGAGATGAAAGGCAGCAAGCTTCCCAAAGGGAGCGGGCAGTTTCAAAACAGCAGGAGGAAACTCACTATCTTGGGAGTACTATTCTGTGACATTTAGGATTAGTTATAAATCCACTAGCCTGTGGCAGGCAAGCTTTGATCAAACTTGCTATCTTTTTGCAGAACGGACATTTTGGTCTTGCAGAGAAATTTTCTCGCAAATACTACCTAGTGTACGGAGACCGTTATGTGTCATATATACATATAGTATATGTCAGCTTGTTACAGGACCAGATTAAGTTACAGCCTTTTTATGCCAAGACTAGAGAAACCTGTAATGTTTGGTAGTTAAAGGTACAAGCTGTGGGGTTTAGAGAAGATCAAAGGGGGAAATTGACTTATAGAGCGAGACCCATGAGATGGGAAAACACACCTGTGTTAGAGAATCCACAGAATAACAACATGCAAGGATCTTGAATCCATTTGATTGCCAAAATGCTACCAAAGCATGGAGCACAGTGTGGTGGTCTAAAGATATTTAGGATTCTATCTTAAATTGTGGAAACATCTGGTTAATGTTTAGCAAAATAACCTGAAAATAATAGCTAAAAATTCCACTCAGCTGAGAGAGATGCATCTGCAAGTTATATCTCATCTTATATATACCAGATCTGTCTGGAAAAAAATCAGCCATTTTTACAAGAAAGGTTTGCATGACATTAATGTAATGTGGTAGCCAAGGAGAGTGAACTGGAATGAGCGTGCGTGAACCAGGACGTCTTCACTATACTAGACAATGAGGGCAGTAGAGGCTTTGAATTAGCATGTGCACTGTGTGGCTGTTGCATT